CCGTTTTTTTTATTTATTTTTTTATTTTTCAAGAATGGTGATTGCGTAATTGACCTGTATAATCTGTCGTTTAGAATCTAAACTTTAGATAACAGTATGAAAAGAATGGTGGTGTGTGGATGACAGTGGGTAGCAATTTGTTGAATTTTATTTACTCTAATTTTCCTTAAATTTACTGAGCAAAAGAACACATTCTCTATCTAAACATAAAATGAGAAATTGAAACACTTTTTTGACTTGTTAAAAAAATAAAATCAATTATAAACTAAAAGGATTATGTGATTTTCACTCAATTTTATTTATATTCTGGTTTATAAATAGTACCGGGAATAGAACAGTGGACATCAAATGGGGATATTTTTTCCTTCAGTGAACTATTTTTTCAGCCAAGAGAGTAGTGTCTGCTGCACCGTCTCACACGAGTGCACTAGGATGTCTTCAGAATGAAACTGACAGCAGAGGACCTGTCAGTGCCACCTGGGAAGTGGCAGAGCTCCAGTGGGCAGTTAGAAGGGGTCCATTCCAGTTCTCTTACTATCAGTTCAACATCTGAATAAAGAAAGGAAAGAGGGTTGTGGGGAGGAGTGGCCAGTGGAGAGGAGCACCGCTGGAGGCAAACGTGACTACCCCGAATCTGTCCTACTTCAGGCCCATCATGAGAAGGCAGGTCCTGGAACACCGCTGGAGGCAAACGTGACTACCCCGAAGCTGTCCTACTCCAGGCCCATCATGAGAAGGCAGGTTCTTAGGAAAGGGAACGATGCTGGGAAATACAGAAGGCAGCAGGCAGAGAGGAAGACCAGTTGTGAGGCAGGTTGACCCATGGAGGAAGCACAGGCATGAGTCTACAGGAGCTGAGCAGGCTGTTGAGGACAGGGCACTGTGGATGTCCCTCATTCATAGTCATCACCAGGGGTCACTGCTGAGTCAAGGGTATGCAACACAACACAGTAACAAGAAAAGTTTCAAGGCGCTTTTTTTTCCCCCCACTTTAACCAGATAGTGATCACTTTTTATGTGAAATAAAAATTTTATCAATAAAATATGTTTTGATAGAGTATAAAATTTTCTAGCTTTATTTTGTGGTCTGTGCTTCAAATGCTGAGCAGTACCTAACTTTTGCTGTTCTAATTCCTCAACTTGAGTAGTTGGTTTGAAGCTAAAAAGAATGCAAAAATTATTAAGAAATTGTGCAGATGTTTAATGCCACATATATTTTCATTTGCATGCTCATTTGATGGCTATTTAAAATTAATGAAGGGGAAGTCACTAATTTAAAAGCCATGGTTTAGGATTCTTGAAGACAGAATTATATTTATATGGCTTTCAAAATAGAGAACTATAGACGCTCACAGTCATACGACGAGGAAGTTAATGCAGGGTTGCTGCCCTCTAGCATATCGGCTTGGTGATCAGCAGCCTCCGTGCCCCTTGCTTCCTCACGCAGGCGTGAGTGGCAGGCAGGCTGCAGGGTGAGAGTTGCTCGAGTGCGTGCGACTGGGCCAGGTCAGGGCTTCTCTGCGGGTCTCCACAACCCATGCAGGGGTCCTACCAGGTCAAAACTGTCTTCATAATAATACCTATTTGTTAGTTTCCTTTTTTCCTGCTTATCTCACCAGTATGCAGAATAGTTTTATAAATGCTACAGGATGTTAAAATGTCATTGTTCTGATGTCCAGTAGAGTATGTGCTACTGTATGCTCTTATGTTTTAAAAATTTCTCATTTTTAATTTCTAATATGCTAAATATCAATAGGTATAATCCACAGAAACACAACAAACTTCTAAAGTTAAAAAGGGTGCTATGACACACAAAGTTTGAGAACAGCTGTTTCAGATACATAGTCTTTCAGAAGCACAATTTAATTTAAAGCAGGAAATACTCTGTGTGGTGGGTTCCATTAGCACCTCACGGAGCACCTAGAAAAGGAAGGCCTGCGAACGTTGCTGACTCATGGAAGATCACATAAGTTGTAACTTGCAAAGGCAGAATTCAACCCCAGTTCTCGAACTCTTACCTGTGCTGCTAACTGTGCAGTCAGGCGGCCGCCTCTCAGAGAAGTAGCAGGTTTTGACACTAAGTTCTCAGAAGAGGGACTACTTCTCAGAACTGGGTCCACCCCCAGGGAACGTGGATATGAAGGGTGTCCTCATGAACAGTCACTTGTGAGCTGAGTTTGATTTGTACAATGTGAACAATCAAACAATTGGGTGTCATTTTTTTAATCTGGGAAATGTTACTCAAAAAAGTTGAGTCTGCCAGCTAAATTGAAGAAGTGGAAGATCTAGCTCTACTGGCTGCTATTCCCATGCCACCAGTCAGCCGTTCCTTTAGGTGAAGTGTGCATCCCCTAGTTTGCCACAGACCTCACCACTCCCTATTATGCCCCATAGCTCATGAACCTCAGTCATGTTTCCTGTCCCAGGTGTTTGGATTGGAAATGGCTGGAGATGATATATCTACTGCGTAGTGTTTATAGCCAATCTGTTCTCAACTTAACTGAAACCTAAAAAGGCACTGACATCCCGCTCCGGTCACCCCACCCCGGATGTAGTGCAGACCTCACTGGCAAAGCTAAATGGAGATCACGTGGCCTCTCTCCTTACTAAAGCACAAAGTCTGATTCAGTAAAGAATGAGCATCTGCCAGTGAATTGCCATTTATTTTTAAATGTGCAGCCTTTTCTTTTCTAAGTGTAATAGTGAGATAAGCACTTTGCACTCACTGGCCTCATTTATGTTTATTTTAGTAATGTCTGTTGTCCTCATTATTCCCGTGTCCAGGCGCTTTCTGGAACTTTGAGTGTCTCTGAACCTCTGGTGCACATCAGATCAGTCATCTGAAACCATTGGAGACTATAATCTAAAGGGCTTCATTATCCTGGGCATGTGGACAGAATTATTGAATTTCAGTTTTTTATGCTTAAAATAGCTCCCAATTCACCAGTGAATATTAATCTTATCATAGTTTTAGATGTATATTTGTTAGCCTTTTTTCTTCCTTTGCCTCACTCCAGACCATAAGTTTCGTAAGTTGGCAACCATCTCTTTGTTCACAATGTATATTCTATGCTGTGTACAGTGTTTAGCATATAATATCAATGAGTAATAGAATGAATAAGTGAGTAAATGTATAAATGCATCAGTTGTGTATATGATAAATCTTGTTCTCCTTTAGCCCCAAGAATTATATTGAAAGATCTTTAGTAAATTTTCATGCTTGCTAATTTGAGGGTTAAATTGGGGAGACTTTTATTCCTCTTAAATATACTTCCACATAAAGGTACATTCAGTGCGTGTGTGCGCAAGCGCACACGTTCTGTTTTACTTAGGAGCGCTCCCCTCTTCCTGATGCGCGGTCGGGAGGGAGGCTACACATCTGTCCAGCTAGTGGTGAGATGCACGTGGAGACAGATGCAGGTGAGACTGACAGGCCTGCAGGTTCAGCACAGACTCCTCCACTCGAGAAGGACCTCTGTCCTGCAGTCAGAGTGGCGGCTGCTTGGCCATTAGGAAACGTCATGTGTAGCAGCAGCTTCCAGCCAGTGTGTGATCCGAAGGGGGCAGAGCTCTGACCTACGGCTGGAAGAGAAATACCATTGTCTATTAATCCTACTGGAACTAAAGCTGAATAGTGAAGCGGCCTTGATCTGACACTGAGTTTGACTTTGATAGCTCTTCACTTTAAAAGGTTCTTTTATATTTATGAAAAAAAGCATGACGTCAAGCCAAGGGGGGACATTTATATCAGTATTTAAGACCAAGCTTGTACTGCTTCCAGAAAAAATAACAACCCTTGTGTGAACGGGCTTTTACATGCATAACTAATTAGCTGAGGTTATTATAAGCAGGGCTGCTGTGACAGTTTCTGGCGGTGCCTCGGGACACCTTGTGTGTAGTGCCTTCTCTATGCCAGTCAGTCCGATCGGAACTGCAGAAAGTAGAGGGAGTGAATAGCCTACCGTTTCTCGTTGGAGTGGGGCCACCTAACCGTTGTTATGCTGGAAATGCTAGAATATAATCACTATCAGGTGAGCTTCATTCTTCCTATTCAGTCTCTGAGATATAATGCAGTACATTGAGTAATTCGCCTTTTCACGTTATGCAATAGACACTATTTTCAATTGTAGAAATAATTGTAGTTTGGTGCTATTTATTGTAAGAAGTAATTCAATTTTATTTTTAAACAAAGTAAATATTAGCAGGCTTCCCCCCCCCCCCCCCCCCAGTGCTTGGCTGTGCTTAGCTCATAAGAGTAAATTATGTTTATCAAGGGAAAGTGATTTTGAGTATCACTGATTTTTAAAAAAGCATTTTTAATTCTGTATTAATACTTATGAGAAATAAGAAAGGAGGACAAATATCCTGGTAACTTAATACTCATGTGTTTAAAAACACATATAAGTGTTAATGCTTTGAAAGAAGCTGCTTAATGGGCATTTGCTTTTTCGGTTGAGTTCACAATCTTAATTAAGATGTTGACTAATTATGTCCAATGAAAGTGGAGGAATTAATCCACAACACCTGCTTTAATCCTCAGAACATGTTTATTTTCAATAATCATTTTACAGGTGTTTCTTATGGAATTTAAACAAAACATGAAGCTGTTCTGTTTGATAAGGAAAGTGAAATAAATTGAGTTATGCTGTGCTCCTTCTGTTGTGTTGATCGTAATAAACCCGGTCAGGTGTGTTGGGGAAATTTTTGCCATACAGTTAGTTGCATATTTTTAGTTCGACATGAGAAGAAGGGCCAGGTTTACAGAGATATACCACTCGTTCCCCGGGAAACAAAACAGGCAAAGTGTGAGCCCAAGTCCCAAGAGTGAGGCTTTGAATTCAGTGATATAAAAACCCATGAACACAGTGCCTGGTATGCAACCGGGACTGGTCTTGATTCTGTCGGTGGACTGGCACGTCTCATGTCTGTGCCTGAAACAAGAGCTGTCCGAACTCATAAATAACAGCGCTGTCTTCTCTTCCCTCCGCGGCTATGTTCAGGTGCAGACCCACCTCGAAAACCCCACCAAGTACCACATACAGCAAGCCCAAAGGCAGCAGGTAAAGCAGTACCTTTCTACCACTTTAGCAAATAAACATGCCAACCAAGTCCTGAGCTTGCCATGTCCAAACCAGCCTGGCGATCATGTCATGCCACCAGTGCCGGGGAGCAGCGCACCCAACAGCCCCATGGCTATGCTCACACTTAACTCCAACTGTGAAAAAGAGGTAATTCATGTCTCTTCCCTCTCCTGTTTTCTTACACTAAATGACTGTCTGTTGGATATTGTTCCTGCACTTGACTGTGGACTGTGGTCTATCGGCACGGCTGCGTTCACCGGCCTTGTCCCAGGTTGCCCAGCGCCCAGCCCTTGGCAGCCTCGCTGTGTTTTGGGCGATGGCACAGGTGGAGACCTGGCCGCTCCCCGCCCCCATTTCCGCTGCCTCTGCTCAGGGTTCTCTTCTCTTCGATGCCTTTCCACTTACAAAGCAGTGAAAGTGCAGAGAGAGAGGAGAGGGAAGGTGGAAAAGGAAAAGCAAAAATAGACAAGGTGTGGGACAGGCGGTTTCGAAGTTCCGCTTGTATTTCTCTCTGAGTGGAGAAAAAAGGACAGAATGTGTGTGGATGGATTTGAATAATACAGCACACGAGAATCTAACAGAGAGGCGAGTGTTTAATTGCTGGATAAATTCCGTTTTATCATAAAAGCTGCTGCCCATCCAACCTGCTTTTGTAAAGGCTGATTGGAGACAAGACTCAGACACACCTGACGCTAATCGTGGCCTCAGAATCTGGTGCATAGAAATCCGAGAGGAGAGTTGTGACTTAATGTCTGTCATTTCCAAATTATGAGGTGATGAGCCTCATTTTAATGGAGTTTCATTGCACTCTGAAACTCCAAAGTGACTTTTATGAAGTTTGCTTGATTTTAATTTCTAAAGGAACCAAGTCTTTTCCCCATTGCCCAAACCAACTGTCCTATTTTCTCTGCCCATATTTGTCATCTAACAGGCTGATTTGATGCAAGTTCTTTTTTCATTATTTCATTTCTTGCTCAGATTCACCTATGTTTGAAAACTTAGTTCATCTTGTTGTGCACAGTCAGCCTCATGTGAACATGTGGTTGAAGGGTCATTTGCAAACCCAAGTCATGGGCTGATTTCGCTTGTGTTTTTGCAGGGATTTTATAAGTTTGAAGAACAAAACAGGGCGGAGAGTGAATGCCCAACAATGAACACACACTCCCGAGCATCCTGCATGCAGGTACTGAGGGGCTTGGGGCCCAGGACGGAACACTTGGGAATGAGGATTGGAATTTGTGGCTGATCACCCCATCCTGATGCCTAAGGGCCCCCCAATTGATTTTTTTATTTGTTTGTTTATTTATGTATTATCCCTTTTATTTCAGTTTGAACTCATACCACTCCTACTCACTCCATTATATTCCATTTTGTTTCACAACTCAGGGCATTCACACATGCTCTTATATTTTGCCAAGACTCCTTTTCTCTCTGGGTTGTACCAGATCCTTACTTATCCTTTAAGACACCCCCGCATGTCCATGTTTCTGAATGCTTCCCTGACCGCAGATGTAACCACTTCACCTGTCATGCAGTCACTTCTCTAATTTCTACTCCGGTTGGGCTGCTCTACAGGATACTAACAAGTGGCAAAGGGGATAGGGAATATGCTGTGGTCCAAAAAAGAGAATTTTATATAAATAAATACAATTATGCAGGGTTTTGTTTGTTTTTTCTTTAGGAATAGTGAGAGCCTTTTCAGTTCTCATGTTCACTGTGAGTCTTCAGAGTTGACTATATCATATACACTGTTTCCCATTTTTTACACAGTACTGCGTATCCCATGGGACTCAAATAATCTACTAATTGTCGTTTGTGAAAACCGTTCGGCTATTTTACTTGTTATGATGAGAAGTGCCCTAGAGCTCTGGGCTTCGTGAGGTCAGGGTCTGTACACTCTGTACCATTTGTTGTTACTCTTCCATTAGAAAAAGTGAATTTTCCTTTAGTCCTTTTTCTGATTTAGTTTTAAAGATAACAAGCTATAGATAGAGCCATTTTCTTCATAGCGTCTCAAGATTAAATAATTACTAAGGAGAGTAAACTTAAAATGCATTTTCCCTAAGTTGCTTTAAGTAATTAAATAGTGCTTATAATACATAAAGTTCAGTAAACAAAATTAAAATGCTTTAATTTATTTAGATACCAGCATCAGTGTACATTATGCAAATGTGTAGGGTAGCCATTTTGATAGGCTATTATTAGTAATAGGTTCATATGTTATCATATATTGTTTTGTAAAATGGAATCTCATGGAGCATATATTCTGAAACTATTAATTTAATAATATTTCATGGATATTTTCCCAAGTAATTAAAGGTTCTATGACAGTCTACTTAATGGGTAGATAAATTATGCTACATTCATTTATTGATATAGTTATATATTTAAAATGTGTGTATAGATGTATAAGAGAAAGCAAAATAATAAGCCACAAAAATTATTGCATTTTTATGTTTTCTGTTATCAGTTTGCATTACTTTTTTCATAAAAGAAAAATTATTTAAAAACTTTAGCACACCAGGTCCTCTAATTTTTATAGTGAAAACAAAATAAAAATTTACAAAGAAAGGTTTTTTTAAGTCCCTTGGCCCATTTGCCTGTTCACTAGCATAATTAGAAAATTATCTCTTAAAAACAAACAAAAACAAATAAAACTGGTATACCTAGAGATAGAACCTAATAAACAGTATGCTGGCAATTATTCAAAACTGACTTCCAATCACTGTTCTCAGGAATTGTGAGCACTTTGCATGATTTATTCTGAAACCTTATAAGAATCCAATAAGGCAGTGAGCATTATTAACCCATCTTACAGATAGGCCCACTGAAGCATTAAAGATTGGGGGCTTTGCCTTCAGTACAGAAAGAGGGAGAACAAAAGTTCCAACAAGTCCCATGATACTGGAGCTTGTCCTGTTTAATTGGAAGTGGCAAAAAAAAAAAAAAAAAAAAAAAAAAGGACCCACAGGAACATGTCTCTGAGTCCTGAGATTTCGTCATGTGCTTACGAAGGACTCTTAAGATCCAAGCCTGTGTGGCGTGCGTGTGTGTGTGTGTGTGTGTGTGTGTGTGTGTATGTACGCGCACACACACAACTAGCCCATGTACATAAGGTGTTTGTGGAGAAATGTTTTCGTTGACTTGTCTTGCAGCTGCTGCGATGCGCACATAATCGCTATTGTTTACCATCACAGCTGGTGCTTTGATACTTTAGGAATAAAATTGTCCAGTGGGAATGTCCGCTCCAGGGCTGTGATGATAACCTCGCCCTGGGGAGTCCCCGGGGAGCACCGAGCACATGGCAGTTTTTCAAGAAGAAACTTACTTTACAAGTCACTGTGAGATCAGTGCAGGCTGCCAGGGCCGAGAGCCATGCCCCACGCCCTGACGGGAGCGAGGGGCTGGACTGCCCCCCATGTCTCCCTCCTCCAGGGAGGGCCTGGGAAGTGTAATACCACTGCAGTTGAGAGCCTGGGTTCAACCTGGGACACTGAGCCTTGCACGAGTGACTTTGGGGTAGTTGCTTCTCGTTTTTCCCACCTGGAAAACAACTGTAATAGCACCGTCCCCGTTTGGGCTACTGTGGAAGGTAAATCTTAGCCAGTGAGAATCCCTGAGCACAGCGCCATCCCTGCCACCTGTGCGTGCTAATGGCCTTAGTCACGTTCACATTTTTGGAGAAAGAGGACAGTTCTTAGAATCTAAAGATCTTTATTGCTTTGGGTAAGAAAAGAGTTGGATCTCTTTTTGGGTTGCTTTGCATGGTTTTTGCTTACTTCTCTCTCCCATTGCCCTTTTTCCTGCAGATGGATGATGTTATCGATGACATCATTAGCCTAGAATCAAGTTATAATGAAGAAATCCTGAGCTTGATGGACCCTGCCTTGCAAATGGCAAATACGGTATTGATGACTTTTCTTTAAGGAAAACCTTGGGCTATTTTCAGTGTTCTCTTCCTTTTCCAGAACTTTTAGTTTATCTTTGGAAGTGATTCATCAAGAAATGTATTAATAATAAAACAGAGAATCATCTCAGGATCACAAAGAAGTGACTGGGACATCAAAAGTTAAGTTAACAACACTCCACTTTCCTGGAGTCCGGGTCCACTTTCAGTTGGACGGCAGGCCTTCCTGTCCCCCTGATGTCCTTCTCCCGCTGAGCGCACGCTGCCCCGGCCAGTGGGCTGCTGCGCCCAGCAGGGCTCTAGCCTGAAGAGATAATGCAGTCTATAAGGCAGCATCTTGCTATTCACAGGTGATAGGGGGACAGTCAGGTTACCATCAGCAGCAAAATTTATTTCTATTTTAGTAAATTTTTAAAAAGTAGAACTATTTGCTCTTACGTGTTACTGCTTCCTATAATTTGGAGCCTTATCTGTGTTGTTCATTGTATTTCGCTCCTTACATTTGCGTCTTATGTTCCTCTTTGCCAGTCTCATTGCAGGTGTGTTTTGTCCTTGCAGTTATTCTGCGAGTTGTTAGTCAGGTGGGGTTATCATTGCTGCCGTCACAGTTAGGAAGCGTGGCGTGGCAGTCGGCTCCGCAGTAGTCTGTGTGTGCCCAGCCAGTCCTGTCGCTTTCCACGAGAGCAATGCCACGCGCTAGCATAGTCCTCAATAACTAGCATAAACGCGAACTCGCATAGGGGTGAAGGGGAGTCATTGGTTGAGGGGTGCAGTTTCAGATTTGCAAGATGAAAAAGCTCTGGAGATGTTTCACAACAATGTGAATATACTTAACGCCGCTGAACTGTACGCTTAAAAATGGTTAAGATGGCATATTTTATGTGATTTTTTTTTACTACAATAAACGAATTTTTACAAACTAAATTCCTATAATAACTTCTCTTGGCCAGGGAGTATGATAATGTAGTAATTTACACCTACATTTTAGTAAGCTACATTTTTATAGTTAGCATTTTCTTTTCTTTTCCATCAAGTTCATTTACCTGATGTCTGGAGGGGTGAGGACACCCCTTGAAATCTCAAGCCTCTTCTAGGATCTTTAGTTTTTATCAACCCCTTCCCATTTAAATTCACCCCCTGATTTTGAAAGAACTAAACGTTCTGCCGTCCTGACAGATGTATACATGCAAACACGCTGTCCTCTCTGAGCCCTCGGTTGGCTTCCGGGGACCCCTTCCCTTTCCAGCTTTGTGCCTCCTGTGAGGCAGACCACACCTGTCAGCAGGCAAAAGCCCAGGTGAGCTTGCCCTCGGGAATTTATAAATATACCCAAGGCCAGGGGTATATTTCTAGTGTTTTCCATGCCCAGCCGCATTAATCAGCCATGCCCAGTCATCCCAAAAGAACTTTGGTGGTGAGGTGGTCCCTTTGCCAGTGGTGTCTAGTGGATATCTGGGCCCATTCAGGAGGACTGTAGAATTGATATAATTTAAAAATCATCATTGCTTTTGTTTTTCTCAACAAAAGGACATCTGAGCTACCCTTCTCTTGCACTGACCTTCTATTGCATGTCCTCTGTGTCCCCAGCCAGGAAATCAGAAACCAGCTTCTAATGCCTCCAGGGAAGGAGATGCAGTAGCTCACAGGGAAGCAGTGATGCACAATGGCTAGGAGCTGGAGGTTTCCATCAGACCTGGGTTCCAACCCTACGTCTGCCATTTAACGAGTGACCTTGCACGTTACTTGGCTTCCTGAAGCCCTGCATTTCCCCTTCTGTCAAATGGGGCTGATAATTGCGTCTCCCTCACATGGTCATCCCATAAAGGATGTATAGCAGTTAGCATTGACACAAGTTGTATTCAACATATTTAATTATCAAGTGTAATTTATTACACTATAAAATAATTGTGATGGTATTTTATTCAGGTGGTATTTATTGAGCACCTGACTATGTCCAGCTGCACGTTAGAATAGCCTCATGCTTAGCTACCCTGATGGTCCTCACAGTGAGTCTCTGGGAATCCCAGACGGGCCGCAGCTCACCTCACGGAGAACTCGTACAGGGACAGCACCTCTGGAGACAGTTGTCATGACCCCATTTCTTCTCTGCTTTAGACTAAATCCATGTGTCTCCTCAGTCTGTCCACATTGGATCATATTCCCTCATTGTCTGATTGCTCCTGCAGTGAAGTGAAGGTTGGTTTAGCTTCACTAAATGCCGAATACCCAGCCCACACTGGGTGAGGCCTCTGGATGCAGGTGAGGGGGTGCTCCTCTGAGAATGGGGCTCACCCGCTGGACAGGGCACCAGGCAGACCTTGAATGGAGAAGGGTGTCAGGAGCGGGGAGGCCATCTCAGCAGAGTTCCCAGATAGGACCCCCGACCCCACTGGGCAGAGTTGAAGTGATTCCCAGCCGGGAGAGGAATAGTAACCAGTCACCACCCTCAGAAGTCACTGACTGTCCTGGAGTTCATTTCTCTTCTATATTCGCACCCTGGAAAAGGCATGTGGCCCCAATGGAGCCTTCCCACAAGAAAACTATTTCAGCATTTTGCTAAGACAGTGTGTTGTAGAGGCTTAAAACACAGACTCTGAGCCACACCTCTGCACTCAACACATACTCCCAAGCCAGTTGACTTTTCTGCCTCACTTTTCTAGTCCAGACAATGGGGATAAAAACAGCATCTAAACAGTAGAATTCGTCTGCAAAAAAAAAAAACAACATTTGAACAGCCCTGGCCCTGATATGTGCTCACTAAATGTTAGTTAAACCTTTATTTTTAATAAATTTGGGTTTTGGTTATCAAAATTAAATAACAAAGCTACTACAACTTACTAACATTTTAATTTTTTCCACAGTGAAGTTTAAACAGTGTTTTTTATGTTAGGCATTTTTCCCTTTTATTTGATTCTTTGAAATCTTTGTTTCAAGTTATTAAAAAAACAAAGTGGAAGGAACACAGAGAGGAAACTGTCCTTAGGGAATTGGAGTCCAGAAACCACTCTTCTGAGAGCACAAGGGCCTCTTGTGGCATCAGAAACAAGGAATAGAAGTCCCAGTTTGCTGTGCTAACAGTGCCCATTGATACTCAGAGAAGGGGACTATCCAGAGGGAAATATTTTACAGTGATCATTTACTTGGAAAAGTAATCATTTTTGGTGGATCAGAAAATTGAACAACCTCATCCAGACCAAGTTTGGGTCACACCCCCAGGTGAGTCCACCTTCGTGTTTGCCGAGGGGCTGTGCTCCCCGCTGTCCGGGTGCCGGAAGTGAGGTCTTGCCCACCAGGTGAAGGTGCTGGACAGTCCAGCAGACACCCCTCCCTGGATTGGAAGATGCCTTTACTTCCTTAGCTCCAAAGCTTGGAGCTAATTTTGATGTTCACTATGTTTATGGGGGAGTTTTTCTAATCCAGAAGGGGAACCACAGCATCCTTTCTTAAATATGCACGACTGGGAGACTAATTTTCAATTAGAAAGCCGTACCATTTTAATCAACCTTCCTTTTAGTAGCTTCAACGAATGACGGCCATTAATACAAAGAACAGACGCCACCATTTAGGGCAGGGCCTCTCGGCCTTGGCACTGTTAACATGTGAGATGGATGATCCTGGGTTGTGGGCCGTCCTGTGGACTTCACAATGTGTAGCAGCACCCCTGGCCTCCACCCATAGGTGTCAATAGCACCCCCTCCCAGTTGTGACAGCCAACAATGTCTTTGACATTGACACATGTCCCTTGGAGCAAAAATCACTGGTTTGAGATACTGAGTGAGCATCTCGGCCCCACACTCCGATTCCTGTGTTTAGATGCGAGCTGCAGGCTGATGAATGGCCAGCCAATTGTTGGCAATTAACACGGCGCACAGTTTTCTGTATCAAAGCAAGTCATGCCTGAGGCCGGCTTGAGCTGGTCTCTGACTCCCAAGCCAGGTGTGGACTTGCCACAGTATTACTTTGTGAGTTTGACTCTCCATGCTTTGAAATGTTCTGGGCTTTGAATTGTTTGGGGCCATTTGGAAATTAATTGAACACGGCAGCTTCTCATTAACATCAGCAGGTTGAGACTTCCCCTTACCCCCCCCCCCCACACACACACACACTGCTGCTAAGAACATGGGACATGGGCCTCCTACCATGCAGGCAGCTAGAACTGTGGCTTTTCTCCTGTAAAATCAGTAATATAACACACAAGAGCCTGTCTAGTTCTGTGCCTGGGCCAGACTAGCCCCCACAGAATTCAACTTTCCCCAGCAAAACATGCTGCCGGGTTCTGTTGCCAGCTCCTAATTGTGAGGATAGGAAAGGCCACCAAAGCAGGAGGAGGGTTCTATGCTGCTTTTCTGATGGGAAGTAACGCTGTCTGACTCGGTCGGTAAGATGAGGCATCTCTGAAGATTTGAGGTCCTCTCCCTCCAGGAGTCACTGCCAGTTCATGCCGCTCCAGCCTCCAGTCCCGTCCTCACTGGGTCTCCCCAGTCTGGCTCTGTCTCCCCACCTGCCAGCCTGTCTACTTGCTTTTCCATCCCTTGTCCCCTCTGCCTCTGTGGCTCTCGTCCTATTTTCTACCCACACTCCTTGTGTCTATCTGTCTTGTTCCCAGTTTTTGATTCTTTCACCCTCTTGTCTCTCCCTCTTTCTGCGATTCTGCACTTAAGTCTATGTACACAGACCATCTTCCTTTAGAAAATGGTTAGGAAATATGTCCTTGTCCTGGAGAAGCTGTCAGTTAGGTGTCTCCCCAGATGAATTGATGACAGGATTTTAAAATCCCTATCAATCATCATCATAACACAATTGCATGTTTTGCTTACAAGTTACATTTGAAAACATGATACATATGATTTATTTCCAGAGCTACGGGAATAGTTATTTAGCTTGTTATATTGAATTTTGGAGTCATTTTCTTGGTTTAATAGTACCCAGTACTTCTCCCTGAATTTGAAATTTCAGGAAGCTGGGAGGAGTCTTTGTAATCCAGACGGTGACGAGATGTCATAGCGGCTCTATAATTTCAACTCCAACTCTATGGTATTGAGACAGTGGAGTACCTTTTGCTCTGCTGTGTTAAGCTGGACAAGAATAAAACTGAACACACACAAGGCAAGGTTGACCCTAAGAAGGTGACCTAATTAAAATGAAACAATTTTGTGAAATGATAGCTAATAATCAGTCACCTTTTTATCACTTTCTTAGTTAAAGGGCCTTGAAATGTGGTCCAGGAGCTTTTTACATGATCCCATTGCATCGTTTATATGCCTCAGGGATGGGATAGAGGTGTTGTCCTTCAAAAAGGAGCAACAGCCTAGTAGAAGACAGAGCCCTGCTCTGCTGGTGACGTCTCATCCCCCACCCACCGTAACAGAGCTAGGGCCGCATTACCCTTAGGAAGGATCTTACTGTGTGCAGGCCCTCCCCCTCTCTTGAGCCTGGAGTTTAGTTCACAGAGTATTTGTTTAGAAGCCATGAAAGGAATGGATGGCTGGTGGCTGCCCATGAGAGGAAACACATTTGATTCTATCTTTACTTTGTGCAATATTTGCATCTGTATGTCAGTGGCTATTTGAGAGAAGGTAGGATGTGCAGTACAATTCTACTCAGTACCTCTTGGTCACTAAACTTTTTAATAATGTTTGAATGCTGTCTAAGTTTACAGCTCAGGTATGTAATCAAGGAAGGGCAGGGCTGAGGGAGGCAAAGTCTCACCAGGTAGTAGTAGCTACCGGAATTGAATTGGGTGAAAATGGGAAGTTTCACTTAACTATCCCTGTAGTTAATCCTTAGAATTTTATCTCAGGGAGTGGGAAAAGCACAATGTCTTGGACCTCTTATGTCTACAAAAATGGGCCCATCAAGCTCCTCCCATGAACTAGTTACAGGAAAATGTATATACAACAAAAGGACACCAGTGTTGGGGAAAAATATTTTTACTACTTTAAAATATTCAATTCAGAGCTAGAGAAAACTGCTTTTAACCTATCTTAAGAAAGCTAAATACTTCCTTTTCTCTTTTTTTTTAGTACAATTTTTTACTTTTATTAAAGTCTGTGAGCTCCCTCTAGTGGCTTTGTGAAAGATTTCAGTTTCAAGAAAAAAGCTTTCCATTAGCAATAAGGAAATCATTTCTTTTCCAATAAGTAAATGCTTTTCATTGCTTTTCCGAGAGAGAGAGAGAGAGAGAGAGAGAGAGAGAGAGAGAGAGAGAGAGAGAGAATATGAATAAGAAAAAGAGGAAGAAAAGGAAGGAAGAAAATTGGCTTTGGTGAAAATCCCGACTGAGTGAGAAAGGCATGCCATATAGAACCCTATTTTACAGCAACAGCCAGCACCCGCACTGGCCCTGAGCTGTGCGGGGCGTCCTCTGCCAGCCGGGCCTGTACCGCTTGTGGGTGTGAGTCTGTGTCCCTTCCTCTTGCAAGGGGAACTAGCCAAGGAGACACTGCACCTATGAGTGAATGAAAAGGCAAATAGCTCATGTTTTCTAATTTAAAAATGACTTTTTACATCAAACCATTTATTTTAAACAAAGTCTAATATAGGGTATGGGTTTTTTCTAAATAACTTAGGACTCGTTCAACAACTCATTTCCGTTACTGCTTTTCTCTCTCCAGTTACCTGTCTCCGGAAACCTGATTGACCTTTATGGCAATCAAGGACTGCCCCCCCCTGGCCTCACCGTCAGCAACTCCTGTCCAGCCAACCTTCCCAACATAAAAAGGGAGCTCACAGGTAAACACCTAGCAAATGTGCTGCTTACTAGGGATTTTCTGTTAATTTTCTGATGCGTAAAGTAATCAAAATAGTGGCCTCCAGTCTGTTTCCAACTCACAGACATACTTTTTAAAATCTGTGCAGCAGGTAAAACTTAGAGCAATATTTTAAGATGGAGGACTTTACGTGAAAATCCTCGTGTCCAGTACTTCTTGAGATACTGGGAGCCCGGGCTGCCTTTGCTCCCTGTACCACAGCTCTGTGGCAGCCCTCGTGTATCTGTGACTGCTGCCGCTCTGTTGGGGGCATGGGAGGAGGCGCAGCAGACAGCACTGTAAATGCTTCTGCCCGGTCTGGTATGTTCCTCACTTGCCAAGCTCCTGGAGGCATCTGAGGGCCCCTGTGTGAATTTTCCTGCCACAGACCCTTAAGCCTGCAGCTGGGATGGGGAAGCATATATTTCTTACATCTTCAGATGCCTCCTATTATTTTGCGGTATTAAGTGCAAAAGACGTATTACACAGAGTAAAAAATAAATTACAGAATGGAGTGATGGGTATTGTTTGTTCTGAGGCAATTGTGAAATTACCCTTTTCTCCCTTTTGCTTAATGCTTTAGGGAAGGCATTCGGCCGTTAAAACGTGAGGATATGGGCCTGGCATTCTACCATGCTGACTTGTATGGCCCTCACCCCACCTCCTGTTTCTGTTTGGTCCTTGCATCCTGTGGTTTTGGGTGAACAGACTGAGAATATGGAATATAGATTTGGTGCAAAAAAATCCCTGTCCTATTGGTATCTTTAAAAACTACTTCACAAAATTGTGGCAGGAGAAAAACACTGATTTGGGTTAAAAAAAGATTACTAATTAATTAATACATTAGAAACCATCAAAGGCCAACCAAGTAGTAAGAACTCTACAGGAAAGAAAAGTACCATGAGGTTTTAGTAAATATTGCTAAATAAGATCTTTATTAAATAATAAAATATAGTTAGAGCGACATGATTAAAATTCTTACTACTTGAGTTGGAAGTAGAGTTTGAATTATGTACATGATTGTTTCTTCAAAAACCTAGGAAAACCACAAAGGCAGGGGTGAGGAATGGAAGAAGTGGGTGAAAGGGTATAAATGTATTAAATTTTTAAAAAGCAGATACAATGGATAGTATATTTCTAAAGTCACTTGCATCTAAAAAAGTGACTTACCTAGACAGGACAGGGTATAATGCCAGGAAAGGGAGCCAATGGACAGGAGTTGGGGTGCTAGAGGGGCAGCATGCATGATGTCACCAAAGGCAAGCAGGCGTAGGAGTCAGCGATCTGACCTAAGGGGTGGGGAGGGATGGTCTTTATTAAGACCAGTATTCCCACCTGTATTAGGTGGGAAAACACGAGGACGAAACCGTACAGTGATTTGAACAGAGGTTTAAAATATTCTTCATGTACAGGCAATGAACTACTAAAAAAGGATGAATACTAATGAGTACCCAACCTTGAGAGGGAACCCTCCTCCCAGGGCCAGGGTGGGGGGACGTGGTCACAGCGCAAATGCACAGAAGCCCACTGGGCGCCTTGACCAGAGCTGGCCCACAGCTGGTGCGTTGAAGTTGGCAGGCAGAGAACTGTGGGGTCCAGCTGGAACCTAGAAATAAAGGAAACAAAACAAACTAAGATCCTGAGGTGGAGGTGGAGGGGCAAAAGTAACAGCTGCCTGCCCCTCCATGTGAGGAACAAACCCTGGAAATACTGGGGCTGCCTCCCCAGCTGCACTCATTCAGCTTGTGAATTATGGGTATCAGTGTATGTAATAATATACATCTAACGACTCCCTGTGCAGCCTGTGCTTCTCCAGCTGCAAGTTTTCAGGGCGTGTGATATAAAGGCATCAAAGAAAGACTTCAAAGTCCTGTTGCCTGGAAAGCCGGTCTGACGCCTGAGGGAGGAATGTTAGGTTGTAGCACTTGCTGCTTTTCTCCTCTGCGCCTGTCTGTTCCCAGTGCGCCTGTGCTGTGACCCGGCAACTGGTCTCTCACTATTTTGTAGAAGCCATGGGTTTGCATTTATTTGATATATATTTCAACTGAAAAAAATGCAGACTTTTTAGTATTGTTTAGAGTCAGGTCAGATGAGTTTGCCTCCTGGAAAAAGGGGCTGTTCTGTATTCACATTGTCGTGTGCCTTGACCAGTTCCAGTTTCTAATTACTTCATTCACGTGCACAGCGTGTATTTTCCCCACAGAGTCGGAAGCGAGAGCGTTGGCTAAAGAGAGACAAAAAAAGGACAATCACAACCTGAGTAAGTTGGTTTTGTTTGTCATAGTGGATGTTGGAATTGATGTTCACTTTTTATCAAGTTTTTCCCCAGAAATTTTAGAGGGAAGTTGACTTCTGTGATATTAAAGGTATATTTTATGGCAGAAATTATTTTTCAGAGAAACCAAGGTATATATTTTCCCCAGATTTTATCTCAGATCAAATTGAAATTTCTCCAGTACCCTGAAGACTATTTTCCTTGTTTATATTGGTTTTGTATGTGTGTGAGTGAGAGACACTTGATCCCCAACTACCCAATTATAAGTGGTGCTCACACTGAAACTTATTAACAATACAGGGTTATGGGAGCACCTTCTCCCGTGAGATCTGAAAGAAAAAAAAAGAATCATCTGGGGGGGTAGTCTATCTGTGGGTGAGGTAGCCTTCCAAATTTCTGACTTTAGCTGTGACGTAAAAATATTTTAACATTTAAAATTATTTGTCTGTGTTTAATTTACTCTTGATCAAATGTTTAAGCTGTTCCTATAAAAACATAAGATTTGTGTTTCATAAGCAAGTAAAAGAGGCTGCACGGTAAAAAAAAAAAAACAAACCCAAAAGGACTGGGCTTGGAGGCAGGAAACAGTGTGCGTGTGAGTCAGTGTCTCATCCTGTGACCTCCTGTGCTCTTTCCTACAGTGATGTTTAAGAATATAAGTTACATATGATGCTCTGTCCTTATAGAAATGAGAGAATAAGGCCAGAGTTCTCCTGCGATCGTTGGGATAATCTTTCCTCTTCTCAGTTTGCTGTGGGTCTTCTCGGTCTCTTTCCTTGTCTTTAAGAAACACCCAGAATAGAAAGCACTGCTCTATGATGAGGAAACACAGATGCTGTCATCTTGTCCACACTCTGCTGCTTGCTGTTTTCCTCAGAGCATGTCCTGAAGACTTCCACTGTTAATTACTGAGCCATTGCCTTTAAAGACAGTTGCTAAGTATTCCATAGCATGGCCCCTGCTGCTGGGGCTGTTTCCAGTGTGACCCTGTTGTAAACAGTGCCAGGTAGACATCTGTGCATGTGCCTCTCTGCTTGTTACCAAACAGAAGGAACCTGTGTTCCCCACTGCTACCCCCAGCCTGGTGCTGGCAGAGCCACACCCTAAATCCTGAGAACTGGGGGGAGACTGGCTGTTTTATCATGAATGATGCCACCCAGGAGAGCGGGCAGCTCATGCCCAGAGCCCGGACTCCCAGTAGCGTGGCGCGTGCATTACAGATTCTATAGGATAAAGCACAGGGCACTGTGGGTTGGGGGTTCCGAGTTGTACTGGGAGAGCCGGGAGTCGGTGTCTGAGCGCAGCTCTCTGTTCCATGGGAAAGTAGCCAGGGGGCCTTTCCACCTCAGGGCTCGGGAGCTGACACAGCCAGTCAGTGCGTTCTCCCTCCTGCAGAGTCCATTCCTCAGGCCCGGCTCCTGTCTTCTGCTGCCTCAGGGTTGCTGATTGCCGGGGGGGAAAGGCTAGGTCTCTGAGACGATTTCTACAGCTAAATGTAATCACAGTCATATGGATCCTCAGGTTCATGTGCAGGGGAGCTTGTTGCTCCAGGTTAGGAGCTGAGAGATGGAATTGCTGGGTCCCCAGGGGCAGTCTTTCTAAGTGGGTATTGCCCTGGCCAGTCCCATCCAGTGATGGGAAGCTTCCCTCGTCTCTTACCCAAAAGATGTGAGTTAATATTAGGTCTCCTCTGGCTTCCGAGTAATTTTACCCTTAGATATTTCTCCTTTTCAAATGCCTTATAAGTAAGATAATTAGGCATTATCCAAAACTTGTCAAAAACAATATTCATCTAATCTCTCAAGTTCATACTTGTCAAAGTGCAAGCATGGTTAGCTCAAATTCTGAGGGCTATAAAACAATCCTAAAATCGCATCTAACCATTAGAAATTAACACTCAAGGTTAGATTGCCCTTTGGCATAGCTCTTTCTCTTCTACGCATTTTATCTTGTGAGAATATTGCCAGCGTGTGCAAAAGAACACACCCATTTCTCCGCTCTGGTTATTGAGCCCCTGCTACATGGGAGGCACTTTCTACAAACAGGTTTCCCATCCTATGTGCTTGGATTCAGGTCAGGGGCCGGCAGAATAGATGAGAAAACCAATACATCAAGGTGGTGTGTTCAACATAAAGTATTATGATAGGAATGAAATGTACATGCAAATCCTGGCAAAAACACTTCTTATACATTGAAAAAGAGGGAGAACTTGGAAACAGTGTCAGTGGTTCTCAACCTTCATAACGTCGCGACCCTTTAATACAGTTCCTCATGTTGTGGTGACCCCCAATTTCATTGTTACAAATTGAACATAATTAAAGCATAATGATTAATCACAAAAACAGTATGTAATTATATATGTGTTTTCCGATGGTCTTAGGCAACCCCTGTGAAAGGGTTGCAACCCACAGGTTGAGAACCGCTGGACTGTAAATAGTCATCAGTAGAGAATTTCTAAGTAAATTATGGTGCCTCCATGCGGGGATTCTCAGTGTTGCTTAGAAGAATGGGGTGGTCTGGTCCACCTGACTCAGACGGTCTACCATACATTGCTGAGTACAAAGCAGAACAATGCGTGCAGTGTCTCGTTAGATACAAAGCACCTACTATGTGCACCTGTGTGTGTTTATGGGTGCATGGCGAGAGGTTCTGGGAGTCACCCTCATCCTTGACAAGAAATGCAGGTGTTTGATGGTGTAAACGGTGGTTTTCACTTCTTCCTTTATACACTTTTGTATGTTTTGCAAGTTTATATAAGCTTATACCACTTGTATAATTTTAAAAAGTTCGGGAGGGAAGGCATTGAATTAAAAATAAAATGTAATACATCTAAATGTTGACAGTAATAGATGTCAACAATATGCTATTAAGTGAGAAACGATAGATGCAGAATCATTTTTAACATTATCTACTGTAACTGCATCATTCTTTATTTAATACATAGTTACTGAGGGCCTACTGTGTTCCAGGCTCATATGGGTGTTTTGAATGCCTCGGTGAAAATATATACATACATACAGAAAATACACAGACATTAGATGGTAGAAAGTCATGTAAATGAACCTATGAATGAATGATGTGGATGTCGGATGGCAGGAAGTTTTATGAGGAGACAAAGTGCAACCAAGCAGTTAGAGTGTCAGGATGGAGTGGTGGTTGGTTTTAAATAGGGTGGCCAGGGTGGGCTCCCAGGACAGTGTGAGTCACTCCCTGAGGGAGGTGAGGGCAGAGCCACTCAGATGCAGTACTTGGGACGAGTGCTCCAGGCAGGGGGGACACCACTATGAAGCTCCTAGTGGGGGGTGGAGCCCCCTTTATGGGCTGAAGGGGGACACAGATGAGTAATGGTAAACATATGGTTGGAGTGGGAGAGGGTAGAAACGAGGGGGGAGGGATGGAGGCCGCCAGTACTTGTGGGATGCCTTGAGGACGCGGCTTTTGTCGTGATGGAGGGTTTTCAGCGAAGGACAGCCGTGCTCTGCCTTACTTTGCACAGGACCCCCCTCTCCCCCCCCCCCCCCCCCCGCCCACTGGGATATTCTGGATAGACCAAAGCGGGTGGGGAACACTGGGCCTGGGTGGAGCACAGAGACCAGGTAGTCGGGTTGCAGGAATCCAGGCGGGAGACAGTGGCTTCTGTCAGTAGCCGTGAAGCTGCATGGACTGTTCCAGAAATACTGTGAGGATAGAGCCAACAGATTTGATGCTGGAGCAGCTGTGGGATATGAGACGACAGAGGTGCAGTATTGATTCCAGGACTGAGTTCTGCAAAGTGAGGGGGAACCGGGGCAGAGTGCGGGCTGTCCCTCGAGCTCCCCAGGGAGGCAAGGGGGTGGACGTGCGAGTCTGGAGTTCCAGAAGATGCCAGGCTGGATGTGTAACTGTGGAGCCTCAGCTTGTGTGTGGCATTCAGACCAGGAGGCGGCACCGGGTCACGGAGAAGTGAATGTGGACCTAAAGAGGCCCCAGAACCGTGGCTGGAGGCCCGTGTGTGTGTTTTCAGAGGTTATAATCACCAGGGACATAGAAGGACACGTAACAGCAGTTGTAGCTGGGTCATAGGAGGCTTTTATTTCACACTACGTGTTTCAGTATTTTTTGAATTGTTATGATTATTATATGCTTGGGAAAAGTAAGGAACGTTGCCAGAGGAGGTCAGCTAAGCTGATCAGAGGTGCAAAAGCTCCTCATTTGGAACCATTGCATCACCTATTCTATTTTTACAAAAGCTTAGTGATAGACAGTGATATATACAATTGATTTAATGATAGAGATCATCACTCAGCTTAAAAATGCAACATATTTTGGGAAGTAGTGAAAAATATTTTTTATTCAAGTGAATCAAATATGAATATGTACTAAGTTTATACAAAATAACCTAATAATAATAAATATGTATTAGGTTATAATATATTTAAAGTAAAAAGTTAACATCTTTAATTCAATTTATTAGACCTTAAGTTATTTGGAATTAATAAATTAAAAACATTTATTAACACATATGCTTTGCTACTTCACCGTCCCCTAAGAAGAACATACAACTAGATCAGTGGTTCCCAAACTTATTTGGCCTACCGCCCCCTTTCCAGAAAATATATTACTCAGCGCCCCCTGGAAATTAATTTTTTTAAAAATTTTAATAGCAATTAAACAGAAAGATATATGTATTAATGTTTCTACCTTTTTCGTAAAATATAGTAAAGAAAGGTGTAAATTAGAAACATTGAAGCTTGAAATTATGAAACTATTTATTGAACTCAGAATAGAAAGGTAATACAAAAAAAGTTAAAACAAATGCACCTGTGGCCATCACCGCCCCCCTGGATCGCTGCAGCGCCCACCAGGGGGCGGTAACGCCCACTTTGGGAATCACTGAACTAGATTTATGAGTGGGAATGCTGTTGGGCTGGTGATGTAGGGTAAAGGTGCTGGACATAACTTCTGGTGGGTTATCCAGACCACAGCCACACGTCACATGGCCTGGTGAGCACTTGGGATGTGGCTCATTGAAGCGGTCATGTGCTGTACGAGTACAGTACTTAGTACAAAAGAGAGAATGTAAATATCGAATTTATAAATTTTATACTAATTACATGTTTAAATGATAATCTGAATATATTGCTTTATTAAAGTATTAAAGTTAATTTCACCTTTTTTTGTACTTTTTTAATGTGGCTGCTAGAAATTTAAAATTTCATCTATGACTTACATTATGTTCCTATTGGGAAGCACTGGGCCAGAGCAGGAGTTTTTGTGTGGCCTGTGGGCAAAGAAAGTGTTTTACATTTTTAAAGAGTTTTAAAAAAATCAAAACAAGAATGATATTTTGGGATATGTAGAAGTTATGTAAAATCCAAGTTGTGGCACCCAGTGCTCTTTAGTAGCAGACTTGTATGCAAACACGTTTACCTGGTTAATATTACACATTTGACTTTGGCCAATAAATAAGCTGTGGAAATCTGTTTTATCTCCTGTTATGTAAGTACCTGCATAATGGCCTCAGTTCTGGCCGCTCAGCCAGCGGAGCCGAAATCCGCAGGGGCCCTTTGCAGAGAGGCTGGCCTGGTCTGCAGCCAGGGTGGGGTCCTGGCCCTCCCCACTTCCTGCTGTGTCCTCACCTCCCTCATGTGTCCAGGGCAGTTTTCTTGTTTGTAATGGAGTATAGTAGCTCCAATTGCAGGGTTGTGATGGGACCAAATGAGAAACTGTATATCTCAGGGCTTACTTAATGACAAAAGGTAGCTCATTTGAAAACTATTTTAACTTTAGTACCAAAACCATGGAAACATGGAAATACAGGGTCAGGTTTTGTGGTCCTGAGCCGTAAGGTTGATACATGCATGTCATTAATGAGATACGTTCATGCCAATGTGACGCTGTTGCTAATAGTCCTTCCTGTGCTCTTTTCTTGAAGTTGAACGAAGAAGAAGATTTAACATAAATGACCGCATTAAAGAACTAGGTACTTTGATTCCCAAGTCCAATGATCCGTGAGTACAATTGCATATTCATCTGCATCGTATAGTTTTTGTACCTTAATGTTTTTTCCTATGTTGCAAAAACTGCACCGTTATGCAAACCAGTGTAAAAAAGTCCCCCTTTCCTTGGGTTTCATCCTAAATACTCCATCCATCTTGCTTTTAATAGTCTTATCAAACTAAGATGCTGAGGGAAGTGCACCGAATTGTCCAACAGGGTGATTGGACATGAGGCAGCTCTGGGTGTGAGGAGAATCCTTGGCAAACAAACACTGAGCTGCTAAACAAAATTAGTTAACAGTTTCTGCAGGACAGCGATTTCAGCATGTGCTGAAGCAAGGTATTGCTGGCTGCTCTTCATCTCCAACAGCATCTGTAGGCACTGAGAGCTGATATTGCAGACTTCACGTCTAACAATTTTGCTCAATTCTGTGTGTTTCTTAAACGTTCGTGTTCTTTGTATGTTTTTCCCTTCTAGAAAAAAGAGTACATTTTAATCCTCTCCTAAGTATAGGTCAGCTCCTGGGATTTCAGCTCTTTCTTCCCGCCCACTGCTTGGGGGATCACAGTGGTAAAGATCTCTTTCCTGCTGGCAACAGCAGCAAACAGGACAACACATACAGGTTCTATCCATTAGACATCGGCCCATTTGAAGTGAGGGGCTCGAGGATGTACACATTTTAATGGCTCCCACAGGCATTCAATGAAATTAGCCTGTGAATATGACCTTTTAGCTATCTAATAAAATGTGAAGATGAAGTCAGCCATTATTCATGCATGGCTGATTAAGTGTGCTGTTCACATTATTGCCGGGGTATTTGTGAGGAAATAAAGTAAGACCATTGTAAGGTGGCTCTGATGAATGAGTGCTCAAGCACAGTCTCCATCATCCACATTTTACTTTCCAGGTTTCTCAAGGAAAACCATTTTAAAACTCGGAACATTTGAGTCCTCAGCTCTGCTTCACACATTTATCCCATGAGGGAGTTGTGACCTTCATTTCCTGTCCTCAGTGTGGCATGATAGCTGAGAATGGATCCCCCCCTTTCCTGTTCTTCATCAGCTCTCACTTTTAGACTAGCATGGAAATCTCTTTACCAAAGGATGAAGTTCTGGGCGGGAGTGAGAGCCTCCCCCTGCCTGTCTCCTTTCTCCTTTGTATTCTGTTACTTATGTTGACAATCTGGACTGATAATCATCTGAATGTGTAGGCATTGTTTTAAGATAAAATGGACGGTTTCCATGCCTGGGAGCCGACCCTGGGCGACTGAGGAGACAGTCCAGCTGACCAGGGTCTCGGCCCCACGCCCTCGCCTGCCCTCAGCACACCTGCTCTTGTTGATTTACATAGTAGAGATTTATGTACACTTCTGTGCGAAAGTGGGTCTTTCTCATTAAGACAGAAAAGTTTAAAAACCCTTCTTTTAAGCCCAGAAGCATAATTAATTGGTTGGGTCTCACAAGGAAGTAAAACCCAAGATAACTGGTTGAAATAGTCACTTCTTAAAAATGAAGTGGCTGTGTGCATGTTTCAGCAACTTGTCCTCACCTTGCTGGCCTCAGCAAGGTATGTTTCAGTATAGTTGCCTTTCTCTCTGGCTGCTGAAGTTTCTCTTCCTTGGATATTAGCCCTGAAATTAGCCAGTTGGCTCAATCCCAGGACACCTCCCCGCTGCCATCTTTGGTGTTCAGACCTTGGGGATCTGCCCCCAGGAACTCTCAGGGGCCTGAGCGCTGCCTCTCATGGGAGAACTCTATTTGGTTCTTTATATGACCCATGTGAGGATCATGACTGGGTGACTTGTGTTAACCGCCCTCCATGCACACAGCCACCTGATACTTCTGATCCACTTGGAGCAGCTGTAGAGTAAAGCTTTGGAGGTTTTTCATACATTAAAAGTATTTTTGTTTTCATCACTATCGTCATTATCATCATGAATATTGTCAATAAAAGGGCTCAGATTAAAGTGCTATAGAAATATTACTTACCTAATTATAATTTCATTCTTAGTCATTGATCTGGAGTGCTCTAAGTGGTGTTTCTATTTGTTTCACATGTGAGTACATTAGCACTGTGGTGATCACAGACTGAGGGCGTGGACTGCAGGTGCTGGGTTTGAATTCCCAGCTGGTGCCTTCCTAGACATCTGTGCTGGCTGGAGCTCTCGGGCTTCATCCTGAGCTGTTAAGAAGGGGCGATCAGAGTATCCCTGCCGAGCCTCGTGGTTTTGAGGACTCAGTTACACACGAGGAAGAATGGCACAGTGGTGTAGAGCCTGCGTCTGAAGCCAGGCAGTCTAGGCTTCCTGGTCTGCCACTTCCCAGCTGTGCGGCCTTGGGAAAATTATTGGACCTTTCTGTGCCTGAATTTCCCAGTCTGTCAAATGGAGTTGTGATGCCTAAATGAACTGTACAATTCCTGGGAAAGCACCTGGCACCTAGTGAATGCTATTTAAAGAGCCATCGAGTGAGTACATGGAGCCCCTCACACATTAGAACTGCACCCTCAGCTTTTCGCACCATTTTTATATAAAGTGCCCCCTTTGATTCCAAAAACATGCCATGAGGCTGCTTCTGCAAGGGCACTATCACGGTTTACAAAGAGGAAATAAAGACAGAGAGAAGTAGGTAACCTGTCCATGGAAACCACGATGCAGTTCAAGGATGCCACCTGTGTGCCTCACACAGTCAGGTAGTGAGGCATCATGGGATGTTTTTGCCACAGCTTATTCTCTGAGTTAATGTTATAGTCCTAGAAAGCTGTAGCTATTTCATACAATGCTAAGAATATTGACTTTACAACCAACAGACCTAAGTTTTTAGGTCCTGACTCCACCTTGTAGCTCTGACCCAGGCTGGCCCGTGCCAGGGTGCACCTCGGGGTACGTGGGGGGAGAGGGGATGGGGACTGGTAGCTATACCAACCTGCACTTGGTAGCGCATCTTTGGAAAGTGCTCTGACTGTTGCATTTTTGTTGACCCTCAAGTCATACAGAGTCTGTCTCCTTGCATTTCATCAGGGACATGCGCTGGAACAAGGGCACCATTTTAAAAGCGTCCGTGGACTACATCCGGAAGCTGCAGCGGGAGCAGCAGCGGGCAAAAGAGCTGGAGACGCGGCAGAAGAAGCTGGAGCATGCCAACCGGCACCTGCTGCTCCGCATTCAGGTACGGCCGGCTGCAGCCTGCGCTCCTGACTTCACAGGGGAGAAGAAAGGGTGCAGGGAGCCCCCCCAGGAGTTGACTCACGTGAACCTCATTATTTGTGGATTCCCTATTTGAATCTGCCACTTATAACAATTTATTTGTAACCCAAAGCAACATTTGTGGCACCTTTTGGTCATTCTCGGAATGTGCAGAGCCATAGACTGGAGTTGCCCGGGACGTCTTTCACGCAGGGGGAGCACGGAGAGGCTCCACCTTCTGCTCTCAGCTCCTCCTGTGACCCAGTGTCCTTTTTACAGTCTGGTTAGTGCCAGGTTTTTCATATTTTTGTGGGTTTTGTGGGTGATTTTGCTGTTTACAGTGGCCTGTAAGCATCATGCCAAAGTGTTGACTAGTTTCCCAATGTGTCTGATGGAGCTAAGTTGACTTCAAACATAAGTTGCGGTGCTATTGGCTGAGTTCAGTGCCAATGAATCAACATTACATCTAATCTAATAAAAGAGAATCATGCAAATTGACCGTACCTCTGCTACATCCAAAAGCCACGCCCACCAGCCAATCAGGAGCAAATATGCAAATTAACCCAACTAAGATGGTGGCAGCCACAAAGCTGGAGCGAGCAGGAGGATTAGGTTGCCCCCAGCAATGGAGGAAGCCAAGCTTCCCGCCTGCCCTGCCAGCCCTGAGCTCTGCTCAAGGCTACAAAGTTTCAATTATAGAAGATAAATAAATCCTAGATACCTGCTTCCAGCCCGGGGTCATGGCCAGCCTGAAAACGGCCATCAGCCCCTCACCCAGGCTGGCCAGGCACCACAGCAGGGACCCCCACCCTGAAGGGGGTGTGACCAGCCTAAAAACGGCCCTCAGCCCCTCACCCAGGCTGACCAGGCACCCCAGCGGGACCTCCCCACCCTGAAGGGGCTATGGCCAGCCTGAAAACAGCCCTCAGTCCCTCACCCCAGCTGGCCAAACCCCCGTGGGGTGAGGGTCCCCGCTGGGGGGCTTGGCCAGCCTGCAAACAGCCATCAGCCCCTCACCCAGGCTGGCAAGGCACCCCAGTGGGGACCCCCACCCTAAAGGGGGTGCGGGCAGCCTGAAAATGGCCCTCAGCCCCTCACCCAGGCTGGCCAGGCACCCAAGCGGGACCCCCACCCTGATCCGGGACACCCTTCAGGTCAAACCAGCCAGCCCCCACCCATGCACCAGGCCTCTATCCTATATAATAAAAGGGTAATATGCAAATTGACCCTAACAGCAGAACGACTGGGAATGACTGGTCACTATGACACACACTGACCACCAGGGGGCAGATGCTCAATGCAGGAGCTGCCCCCTGATGGTCAGTGCGCTCCCACAGGGGGAGCTCTGTTCAGCCACAAGCAAGGCTGGCGGCTGCCATCACAGTGGTGGTGGCGGGAGCCTCTCCCACCTCCTCAGCAGCACTAAGGATGTCCGACTGCAACTTAGGCCTGCTCCCCGCTGGCAAGTGGACATCCCCCAAGGGCTCCCAGGCTGCCAGAGTAATGTCTGACTGCCAGCTTAGGCCCGATGCCCCGGGGAGCGTGCCTAAGCCAGCAGGTGGACATCCCCCGATGGGTCCCAGACTGAGAGAGGGCAGAGACCAGGCTGAGGGACCCACTCCCCCCCCCCCCCGAGTGCTCAAATTTTTGTGCACCGGGTCTCTAGTATTAGATAAGGAAGCATGGCTCCGTGACAGAGTGTGGCCAGAGGCCCGTAGGCGCTAGCTGTGTCCCCAGCCGCACTAGCTGCAGCCGACTGTCCGCTAGTGCGGCTGACAGAGTTGCCACAGCCAGCGGCTTACCCCACAGATATTGTCTCACAGTTCCCAAGGCACCAGCTGGTTCTAAGGGTGAGGAGGGCTCGCTCCTTCGTTCAGAGACAGCGCCTCCTTGCCCGAGTCCTACGTGGGGGGAGGGGCGAGGGCGCTCTTGGGGGTATTTTTATAAGGACACAGGTCTCACCCAGGAGGGCTCCACTCTCATGACATAAGCGCCTCCCAAAGCTCTGTCTCCAAATACCATTACCCGGGGACGTCAGTTTCTGTGTAGGAATTTGGGGAGCACATACATCCAGTTCATAGCGGTGATTCCTGCGAATGATGAGAACTGACTGTAGTTGTTAAATACAAAGATGCCTTAGTATTGGGTGTTGGGGGGGGGGGGTGTTAGTCCATAATCAGAGCCCATGTTAATAGGGAACTTAGAGACGCCCAGAGGATCTTATCATCAAAACATAAATGTAAGAAGTAGGACAGAGAGTGAACTTATGCCAGGTGTATCTTTAGTTTACACTATATTTTCTTAGCAGGAGAAATACTAATTTTACAGGTTTATAGGATCCACCTGTCATTTCATTCAGGGAGTGTCTGTACAGTGCAGAGTGAGCAGGGTCCTTTGGTGTCAGCCAGGCCTTCTCTCAGGCACGGGCCTCTGGCACCAAATGTGAACACAGTTTCCTCTGAAACTGCCTTGAAAAAGAGAAAAAGAAACAAGCTGCTAATGACTGAAGGAGTTTGCAAGAGTATTTTTAATGTCCTGGCCAACTGAACACGGCCCACCAGTAGGAGTCACTGTGCCTTCTTCTTGAATAGATGACCCCACCTCTTACCAGATTTTGCCATAAGCAGTGGCTACGTTTCAGGTTTTCAAGGCAACCATTCATGGAATGACAGTGCAAAGTGCAGCACTTTAGTGACCAGTTGTCTGCCATAGTGCTGGGAGTCCCAGACATGGAATTATGTAGCTGAGTAGTTTACTGAGAATGGTGCTCTCGATCTTTTCCATGCCCACACCACCCGTGACACTCATGGTGGCACAGCTCGTGGGTGCTGGGACTCCAGCCATGGGGCAGAGAGGTGAGGACAGCTGTGCTCTGGGGCCCATTTTAGAACCTCAGCAGGGAAGGAGTGGTCAGCTGGAATGTAAATGTCTCCTCCCTTTCTCCCTTTAATCGGCATTTGCTGTTGGTCCCACGTCCCGTTCTTCGCTGAGGAGCTGTAGGTCTTGGATCTGTTGAATCTAGGCTACCAGTTTATAAAAGCAGCTTGTACTAATGTGCTGGTTCCTCATACAAATATTAAGATACTACAGGCCTGGTGCACGAATTCATGCACTAGTGCGGTCCCTCAGCCTGGCCTGCGGGATTGGGTCGAAATTGGGTCCTGGGTTGTGAGAGGGCGCAAGCCAGGCTGAGGGACCCAACTAGTGCATGATCAAGGCCGAGGAGGGACGTGGGAAGTTGGCCAGCCGGGAGGGACTGTGCAGGGCTCCAGGGTGTGTTCGGCCTGTCTTGCTCAGTCCCAATTGGCCGGACCCCAGCAGCAAGCTAACCTACTAGTCGGAGCTTCTTCCCCCTGGTGTTCAGTGCACGTCATAGCGAGTGTTGAGTAGCCTTAGCATATCATTAGCATATTATGCTAATGATATTATATAGGACTAGAGGCCCGGTGCACAAAAATTTGTGCACTCGGGGGGGGGGGGGGGCCAACCCGGCCTGTGTCCTCTCGCAGTTTGGGACCCCTTGGGAGATAACGACATGCTGGCTTAGGCCTGCTCCCGGGTGGCAGAGGGCAGGCCCAATCCCTAGGTGCAGCCCCTGGTCGGGCTCACAGCAGGGCCGATTGGGGGGTTGGGGCACCGCCCCCTGTCACACTCAAGGCAGGGTCGATGGGGAAGTTGTGGCGCCACCCCCTGTCACGCACAGAGCAGGGCCAATCAGGGGGTTGGGGAGCTGCCCCCGTCACAGAGCAGGGCCCATCAGGGGGGTTGGGGCTCCGTACCCTGTCACGCACAGAGCAGGGTCGATCAGGGGGTTGGGGAGCTCCCCCCTGTCACTCACAGAGTAGGGCCGATAGGGGAGTTGGGGCACCGCCCCCTGTCACAGAGCAGGTCGGATCAGGGGGTTGGGGTGCCACACCCTGTCACACCCAGGGCAGGGCCGATGGGGAGGTTATGGCTCTACCCCGTCACACACAGAGCAGGGCCCGTGGGGGGGAGGGGGTTGGGGCACCGCACCCTGTCACACACAGAGCAGGGCCGATCAGGGGGTTGGGGCGCCTCACCCTGTCATACACAGAGCCGCAGGGCGATCAGGGGGTTGGGGAGCTCCCCCCATCAGGCACAGAGCAGGGCTGATCAGGGGGTAGGGGCACCTTCCCCTGTCACGAACAGAGCAGGGCTGATAGGGAGGTTGTGGCCCCGCCCCCTGTCACACACAGAGCCGCAGGACGATCAGGGGTTTTGGGTGCTGCCCCCTGTCACGCTGATCCCGGTGCCAGGAGGCCTCGCGGCTCCGCTAATCCTGGTGCTGGGAGGCATAGTACCCTTTTACTATATAGAATAGAGGCCTGGTGCACATGTGGGGGCCGGCTGGTTTGCCCTGAAGGCTGTCCTGGATCAGGGTGGGGTCCCCACTGGGGTGCCTGGCCAGCCTGGGTGAGGGGATGATGGCTGTTTTCAGCTGGTCACACACCTTTCAGGGTGGGGGTCCCCACTGGGGTGCCTGGCCACCCTGGGTGAGGGGCTGAGGGCTGTTTTCAGGCTGGGACTGAAGCTCCCACCTGCTCCTTTTTTTCTGTTTTTTTGTGTTTTTTTTTTAATTCTGGGCCAGCTTTAGCTCTGAGGCTCCAGCTTTTATGCCTCCGCTCCTGAAGGCAGGTATCTGGTTTGTTTCGGTTCTATAATTGAAACAATGTATAACTCCAACTCTGAGATCCCGGGCTCGTTGAAAGCAGGTTTCTGGGGTTTTGTTTAGCTTCTATATTTGTTACAATGTTTCTTAAACTGCAGGCTTAGAGGCCGGCAAGGCAGGCGGGGAACTTTGGTTTCCTCTGTCACTGACGCAAGCAAGCCTCATGTTAGTTTCAAGCTGCCTGGCTGCCGGCCGCCATTTTGGCTGGCAGTTAATTTGCATATTGCCCTGATTAGCCAATGGGAAGGGTAGCGGTTGTACGCTAATTACCATGTTTCTCTTTTATTAGATAGGATAGTAATTGTTTTGAAAGAGAGTCAAGGGTTTTGTTTTAAGGGTCCAAATATGTCTTTTTGTGTGAAATACAAGTATTGTAAAATAGTGAATTGGAAAATCCCTGGGGGGAGCATCTCAGGGTTTCCTGCATGATAGTGAGGCAGCCCTCAAGCTCGGCATGTCCCGGAAGTGTGACCAGTCAGGACAGCTCTGCAGGCCCAAGCCTGCACTTGGATGAGAGGCACTGCATTATTTAGAAATCTAAGTAAGGCTTTAGTCAGCTGATAAATATTTTCAATTAAGTAGCAGAAGATAGAGTAGGATGTTTTACTCTCTTAATTCAACTTTGTTATTTGGTTTAAAGACAAACTACTTGTGTGGGGGTGCTGTTCTTACCAGCACGTTGGTTTGGGTTTACAAGAGCGGGTGCTCTCAGCAGGGCTTCCTCCCATCTCCATTCTGAGTGACGCACGCACAATGCCTCACAGAAGCAAGCATGAGGCCCGAATGGCATTGGACCCACCCTTTTATCCCACAGCCCAGGCTCTGAGCTGATGCTGGGAGATGTGTTTCTGGAGGGATGTGAGGAAGGGGCAGGCAGGAGGTGCTGGGACACATCAGGCTCCGGCTCTTACTTGTATTGCATCCAAAGGTCTTGCAGATCAAACAGCCTTTAATGAAGACTGAACAGGACTCTTCTGGAAGGTGGATCCTTAGGAAGGTAGATCCTTAGGTGTGTGAGCTGAGGCTGAGGCCTCGTCTGTTGCAGGGCCGCGCTCCTCTCCAACGAGGCAAGAAGACTTGCTCAGCCTTACTCCTGTTCTTACTGCATCACAGCCATGGAAGGGCGCTGCACGGGGAGGGAGAACGCTCACTGGGGAGTCTGTCGGGGTCTCTAGGGTTCATTTTGGGAGGGTGCAGGAATACTCAGGAAGGAAGAGGGAGGGGCCTTTTGAAATGAGTGCTGGAGTCCGCCAGGCAGTTGAGGCTGCCCCAGGCAGTGCAGGCAGCAAAGACTTCAGTTCCTCACAGTCCTCAGAAGGCGGCCCCCACTCTCCATCCACAAGGTTGGTTTCTCCTGAAAGCACTGCTGGGCGTGGAAATGGCGCCTTCCCTCTGCGCCTGCGTCCTGGCCTCCATTGTTCAAGGACACCAGGGCTGCCACAGATTGGGTCCGGCCCCCAGTGACCTCATTGTACCTCAGGGACCTCTCTGAAGATACTGTCTCCAAACACAGCCACGTTCTGCAGCACTGCAGGTTAGGTTTCAGCACAGAAAATGAAGGAAGTGGAGGAAGGAATTATTCAGATAAGGACTTCTTTCTGGAATTAAAAAAAAGTCCATTTCTCATGGTGAAATGGCCTGAGTGATGCTTCTCAACCTCCAGCTCCTTGTGCGAACCTTCCGCACTTTTGCCACTACTGCCCACTTTCTTAGTGCTGCTGCCCCTGCTGTCTTAGTTACTCTTCCGTTTCTGTTAGGTCCTGACCACTTGTAGGCATTTGAAAATTTAAACATGTAAATTAAGAAAAGTAGTATTTTTATATTATTTTAAAATAACTGCATTACTTGCTGCTGGGCCTGTGTGCCTGGATGTGGGAGGTGGCTGCTGCCACCTGTCCCCCCCGTGCAGTGACTCCCAGCAGCGCCCGCATCTGTCAGCGCCGCCTCCCAGGCCCTGCTCCACACAGCGAGGGAGAGCCCAGGCACAGCCGACCCAGCGTGGACCTGCTACCTGGGCGGTGGCCCTCACAGACATGTCGCCACGTCCCTGAGGTTTTCAGGCTCCCCAGGGTCCTGTGCGTCCTTTGCTGCACCTCGAATACTTAAGAGCACAGTTTAGGGACCACGGAACAATAATGTTTACTGAATATTTTCCTTTAATCAGCTTACATTTTGAAATTTTATTTTGATGTTTTTTTAATTCTCCTCGTTGTGAACATTAACGGCTGTGAGAGACTCTATATTTAATATATAAAATCCACTACCACCTAAAAAGCATTTCATTTATTACCAGTAGTACTTATACTCTACTTTTGAAAGTATGGCATTTACTAATTTAAAAGAGCAAAATATTTTAATATTTATCGTTTTCTCTCTAAGTGTATGATTTTTTTAAATAGACTTTATTTTTTGGAACAAGAGTAGGTTTACCGCAAAATTGAGCAGAAGGTACAGCGCCTTCCCATGCACGCACCGCCCGCCACGATCCACATCTCCAACCACGGGAGAGAGTGTCCTCACCAGCACAAGGCCCTCCCCTTTCATCAGGCCCCCTCTCGGGCGGTGTGTCCTGTGGGCGTGGACAGTGTGCACTGACCTGGCCCCATCGTGACAGTGTCTGCCCCAAGCCCTCTGCACCTCTTCGGCCCAGTGTCTGACTTTCCCTTTTCTTTCAGGAACTTGAGATGCAGGCTCGAGCGCATGGCCTTTCCCTTCTTCCGTCCTCGGGCCTCTGCTCTGCGGACCTGGTGAATCGCATCATCAAGCAGGAGCCCTCCCTGGAGAACTGCAGCCAGGACCTGCCACCGCGCCATGCAGACCTCACCTGCACCAGCACCCTCGACCTCACCGACGGCACCATCAGCTTCAGCAGCAGCCTCGGCGCCGGCACCGAGGGCAGCCAGGCCTATGGTGTCCCCACGAAAATGGGCTCTAAACTGGAAGACATCCTGATGGACGATACTCTTTCTCCTGTTGGCGTAACGGATCCACTGCTTTCGTCGGTGTCCCCGGGAGCTTCCAAAACCAGCAGCCGGCGGAGCAGCGTGAGCATGGAGGAGCCCGAGCACGCGTGTTAGCAGCCCCGCTCGCCTCCTTCTCCAGGAGATTCCACAACTGACCTGAGGGGTTTTCTTGATAATTTTCCTTTAATATGAATTTTTTTCATGCTTTCTCAATAGCCAAGGATATATTTTATTTTTAGAATTTTGTGAAGCGGACCTGTATATTCTATTTTGCAACTATAAATGCCTCCAAAGTATTGTACAATAAGCGTACAGAACCTGTGAACTGAGCTCACCCTGGACGCCAGCGTCCTGAGCAAGAGGATTTTCATCAGAGAAATTTTTGTCCACTGTTATTCAGGGAAGCAAGTTGGAGATTTTTATGCCTGTGACTTCCTTGGAAATTAAATGTAAAGTTTAATCAGAGGAATATAAAGCAACCAAAATAAATAAAATAAAAGTAGAGACAGACAGACAAAAGAAAAGAAAAATTTCACACTAACCTTTTCCATTTTGTAAATGTGTTCATTGGTACTGCCTTAAAGATACAGTACCCTCTAGCATCAGTCTTTATACTGCAAACTATTTCAAGAAATGCTATATTCTGCAAAAGAAAAAGATGCAGCCATTTTCATGAGGATTGTCTGGTGAGAAAAATAGCTGATGTGTTACTTACCGCTGAATTGCGAGGGCGGTGCAGGGCTCTGAAACCGAGCTCGGCCTCACCCCTGCTGCTCTGGCCCTCCTCACCAATGCGTGTGAGTCAGTGCTTCCTAGGACCTATTTTACTTTGAATGAAAATGAGTGTCCTCTCATAGTAAGACATTGAGGAGCACTGAATGTTTTACTCTTTTTTCTTTAATTTTGCTTTTGATAAGAAAACCAAACGGCACATTTCTAATTGGCTTTACTATTTTTATTTTTAAATTATGTTTTACTGTTGGTTTGAGTTGTACAGATTCTTTATTATCATTGTTCTTTTCAGTATGTTTGTATTAATTTGTAAGAATATGCATCTTAAAATGGCAAGTTTTCAATATTTTTACAACTCACTGATGGTTTTCTGCATTATTTGTACACACATGAAAGAAAACTTTCACGCAAGGTCTTGTGTTTCAAGAGAGCTTTGCGAATATTTTGTATATTACAGTCTCACTCAGAACTGTTTTTCCACACATTTAAGGTGTAGTATTAATAGGTAAAACTGGCCTTCTAGAGAGAATAAACTTACATATTTATTTTTAGTGATATAAAAATAGCAATATTCTTGGAGACTGGTAACTATAGTATTAATACGCCCATTATGGTCATTTAAATTGAGGTTTATTTCAGCAAGCGTGCTGAACTTTTCTAAGGAGAGAGATAGTGTACTGGCAAATGACTGGTACTTGGTAGCACTGCTTTGCCAAGCGGCAGTGCCGTCCAGGCAGCTGCTGTCCGGTCAGCTCCCATGCATGGGTGCGTGCGGTCTTGCGCGGTAGCAGCAGTGGCCCCCCACTCTGTCGGGCGAGGTGTCACACAGGCATGGGGTCAGGAGTCAGGCTGTTGAGTGGACCGTCTCAGCAGCATGTACAGTTGATAGCCGGTGGCATCAAGCACACCCATCTGGAATGAAGTGCCTTACACGGAGCAGCAGCCGCTTGGGACTGAGCTGGCTGAGCTGGGCTGTGGGAGACTTTCCCGCTGGTCTCACTGAGAACGGCGTGCGGCATGGTGCCTCTGTGGACAGTGTCAGAGCTTCCAGTTCTCCTTCAGATATTTTTAATATTAAATATATTTTAGTGACAGAGTGCCAACTTCTTTCATCAGGAAACCTCATTCAGGAGGGTTTTGTAAAAAACGAGGCTGAGTTTAAATGTCAAATGTGAATTGGTGATGGCTGTTAGAGGTTCAGGGAGAAGGAGTGATTGTCGAATGTACGAATGGATGACTTACATGAAAATAATCCATGCCTGGCTCCCAGGCACGCTGGGCAGTGAGAGTCCTTGGAACTTTGAGAATGCTGTCAGTTTTATAGCTTCATTACTTAAGGGGCAGGGAACTTGGTTCCCATTCTTTCAGCCTCCTTCACTGTACAGATAGCTCTTCTCCTAGAATAGTGACACGGGTGTGCATGAGCAGCTAACTGTGCCACAGTGTTCACGGACACAATCACAGCATCGTCCATTAATCTCTTCCGATTGACGTGGAGGAGGGGACCTGGGTGCAAAAGTCGAAGGTGGCGATGGTCTGATGCTAGTTTTCTTTAGCTGATTAGGAGGTTCTTAAAAATAGAGCAAGGCTGACTAACCCAGGGCCCAGGATTAAGCGAATGTAGAGGGAGATTTGTGAGAGAAAGCATGGCATCTCCTACCACTGCCCTGGGTCTCGCACGCCGGAGCTCACCCTCCCTGCTGCCCCAACCTTTTTGAGAGACAGTTTCTGGGAGTGGCAGGCCAATGAGCCCAGGAGAAGGCTGCAACTGCAGGAGTGGTTTATTTATTTCTTTTTTGCCAAATAGAGTGTGGGTTCGTTTTAGCGACTAGTTATGCCAGGAGGGGGTGGTTTGGGCTTGCTGTTTGTGATGCGAAAACAGTCCACACCACTCCCCATCCCTGGGTGCAGAGCTGAGACCTGGGGCTGGGCCTCCATCTGGGGTGACTGACATGCCAAACTTGTCCACCTGCCTCTGGGTACGGTGATGGAAATACCAAACCTGACTTTGCCAAAAACCATGCAACCAACTTGGTCATACTATGATGACAAAGTTCTTTCTGGTTGTTTTTTTAAAAATAAAGCAATAAGAATAAATAAAATACATAGGAAGTTAAAAGATACAAAATAAAGCACAAAGGAATGCACTTACTAATATTTTTTAAAATGCACTGGGGAAAAGTTGATGTTGATAACAGTGTATTAAAAACTCCTATTTCTTGAAAAAAAAAAAAAAAAGACAAATGACTGTCTTCCTGACACTCGGTACTGTAATGTGGTCACCTGCTGTGGGTGCAGCAGTGCTTTCTGCGTGGCCCACAGCACTGTACATTGTGGGTCAATATTCATGTATCCGTGACCTTTGAACTGTTCTCGATAGCTTCATTAAAGCATTTGGTTTTTCACACCGTGCTGGCCAGTTGTGTTTAGTTGATGCCAGTTTTGAATATTGTTTGCCTTATCAGAAATGGTGGTGCACTTTTTCTTCCGATTGAGTGAATAACAAATTGCATGAAAAAAAAATGTAAATGCCAGTAAGTACGTTTTTTGTTTTAAATGTCATTCTAAGGTATTGCTTTTTTGTTTCAAACACTGATTACTTTATAACTTGCACTCAGATGAACTATAATTATGCAGCTTTTCCCCTCTGACTCTGGGGAGATTTGAACTCCAGAATGCCAAGGATTCATTTTAGATATAGGGGTATTATTTTAAATGTGTTAGTGAGAGGTGGTTTTCCAAAAGAAAAATTATTGGAGGATTCCTTGCATATTTACAAAAAAGATACTGGGTTTTTAAAATACAAATTTATAATAATGAGAGCTTAGTAGACCCAGGTTGCCAGCTTCCACCTTCTTTTTTAAAATGCAGCACTTAAGATAATTTGATAACTCCTGGATCTGACGTGGGAAATGTCAGACGAACATGTCTTTATTCCCTAGCTAGACCTTAAACTTCTGCCCTCTTCAAAAGCGTTCTGGTTGAACCTCTGGAGAAAATGAGCAAGAAACTTCATATAATGCTTCTGATCTGATTGTCAGCTTTTTTAAAAATTTGATTTTTTTTCTTAAATTGTAATATACAATTATCGAGCCCTTTCTTTTCAGAGTCATTTGAATTACTTACATTTCCCATGGAAATGTGATTATGTGATGTCCTTAAAATGTGTAAAAGTAAAAGATCTGACTGCACAGGAGAGTTCCCGGAGCACCGAGAGCGGATGAGCTGGGAGTTGGGGCTGCTTGTCTCGGAAGTTCGGCAGCAGGACCTTAACCTGGACTTCCGACCTGCGGGTGCCCATTACTCAAGTCACATTCTACAAAGATCCTTAGTCGCCAGCTTCCCCTGATGCAGCCCCCACCAAAACCACATCTGGGGCGTGGCATATGGCCTCACGTGAGCGTGGACTCGGCCAGCCTTCTGAGTGTGGATCTCTGCCCGTGTCCAGCGTGTGGCTTTGAGCAAGTTACTTGGCTTCTGTGTCCCACTTTTCGTTCATTGACGGCAAGACCAGCCACAGGGCGGTCTTGTGGAAACCATTCAGTTCATGCTCCAGAAGTTCTGCTTGGCAGCACAGAGTACATGACAGCCATCTTCAGATGATTGTCATCATCACCTTCATTAGAAACAAAGCACGCTCTCTGGACCACAGGGGCGCTGCGCTGCAGCAGCGGCAGGCACACTGGGGACGCTGTTGGAGCAGAGGGCTAGCGTGTGTGAACCAGCAGGGGCCAGAGCTACGGTGCTTTAGAGAGCAGGCCCTGGCTGTCTCCAGCACCCAGGATTAGAACATTGCAGAGAATTAGTAACAAACCCAACTCGTCACATTTTAAATACATCTTCAGCACAAGTGAACTGGCCTTTATGTTTTTATTCTGTTTTCCATTAAGCAGGAGTCATTTTCTTTTTTTAAAAAAAAAAAAATAATGCTTAATGTTTAAAGTATTACATATGTCTCCTTCCCCCCCTCATTAACCCCCTCTAGCCCTCCCCCGCCCCCCGCCCCTGGTCCTCACTGCCCCAATGTCTGTCCATGGGCCATGCATATGTGCATACAAGGTCCTTAGATGATCACCTCCTACCCAACCCTCCCCCACCTTCCTTCTGAGATTCCGCACTCTGTTCCATGCTTCTATGTCTCTGGATCCACTCCATTCATCAAATTATTTTGTTACTTAGATTCCACATATGAGTGAGATCATGTGATACTTGTCTTTCTCTGACTGACTTATTTCACTTAGCATAATATTCTCCAGGTCCCTCCATGCTGTCTCAAAGGGTAAGATATCCTTCTTTTTAACTGTTGTATAGTATTCCATGGTATAAATGTACCACAGATGTTTTATCCACTCATCTACTGATGGGCACTTGGGCTGTTTCCAGATCTTAGCTATTGTAAATTGTGCTGCTATGAACATAGGGGTGCATACATTCTTTCTGATTGGTGTTTCAGGGTTCTTAGGATATATTCCTAGAAGTGGGGTCACTGGGTCAAATGGCAGTTCTATATTTACTTTTTTGAGGAAACTCCATACTGTTTTCCATAATGGCTACACCAGTCTACATTCCCACCAGCAGTGTACAAGGATGACTTTTCTCCGCATCCTCTCCAGCACTTGTCGTTGGTTGATTTGTTGATGGTAGCCATTCTGACAGGTGTGAAGTGATACCTCATTGTCGTTTTAATTTGCATCTCTCTGATGATCAGTGATTTTGAGCATTTTTTCATATGTCTCCTGGCCATCTGTATGTCCACTTTGGAGAAGTGTCTATTGGGTTCTTTTCCCATTTTAAAATTGGATTGCTTGTCTTCCTTTTGTTAAGTTGTATGAGTTCCTTGTAAATTTTGGATATTAACCCTTTATCAGATGTGTCACTGCCAAATATGTTCTCCGATACAGTGGGCTCCCTTTTCATTCTGTTGATGGTTTCTTTTGCTGTGCAGAAGCTTTTTATTTTTATGTGGTCCCATTTGTTTATTTTCTCCTTAGCTTCCTTTGCCCTAGGAGATGTATCCATAAACATACTATTACGAGAGATGTCTGAGATTTTGTTGCCTATGGGTTCTTCTAGGATTTTTATGGTTTTCCTACTTACATTTAAGACTTTTATCCATTTTGAATTTGTTCTTGTGTATGGTGTAAGTTGGTGGTCTAGTTACATTTTTCTGCATGTATCTGCCCAATTTTCCCAACACCATTTATTGAAGAGACTCTCTTGACTCTATTGTATGCTCTTGCCTCCTTTGTCAAATATTGATTGAGTGTAATGGCTTGGGTCCATTTCTGGGATCTCTGTTCTTTTCCATTGATGTATATGCCTGTTCTTGTGTGAGCACCAGGCTGTTCTGAGTACAGTGGCTTTGTAGTATAACCTGATATCTGGTATTGTGATTCCTCCAACTTTGTTTTTTTTTTCCTGCAACAACTATTTGGAGTCTTTTTTATTTCCATATAAATTTTTGGAGTATTTGTTCTAGATCTGTGAAATATGCTATTGGTATTTTAATAAGGATTGCATTGAATCTATAGATTGCCTTGGATAGTATGGGCATTTTAATGGTGTTGATTCTACCAATCCATGAACATGGTATATTGTTCCTCTTGTTTACCAGTTTTTTCAATATCCTGTAGTTTTCTGAGTACAGGTCTTTTGCCTGCTTGGTTAAGTTTATCCCTAAGTATCTTAATTTTGTTGTTGTTGTAGTGTTAAATGGTATTGTTTGCTTACTTTCTTTTTGGGAGGATTCATTATTGGTGTATTAAAAAGCCATCGATTTTTGGGCATTGAGTTTGTATCCTGCTACATTGCGAAATTCATTTATTAAATCTAGTAGTTTATGTGATGTATCACGTTTATTGATTTGAGACTATTGTACCAGCCTTGCATACCTGTAATAAATCCCACTTGGTCATGGTATATGATCTTTTTAATATATTGCTGGATCTGATTTCCTAATATTTTATTGAGGATTTTAGTATCTATGTTCATCAGGGATATTGGCCTGTAATTCTTTTCTTTGTAGTGTCTTTATCTAGTTTTGGATAAAGACTTTATTATGATAATACTGGCCTCATAAAAAAGAGCTTGGAAGTGTTCCTTCCTCTTGAATTTTTTGGAATAGTGTGAGGAATATAGGTGTTGGTTCTTCTTTGAGTGTTTAGTAAAACTCCCCTCTGCAGCCATCTGGATCAGGGCTTTTGTTTGCTGGGAGCTTTTTGATTACTGCTTCTATTTCATCGTTGTTATTGGCCTATTCAGGTTTTCTGATTCTTTGAATCTGTTTTGGGAGATTGTATTTTTCTAGGAATTTGTCCATTTCATCCACCTTGTCCAGCTTGTTGACATATAGTTGTTCATAGTATTTTCTCACAATCCTCTGTACTAATGTGGTGTCAGTGGTTATTTCTCCTCTTTCATTTCTGATTTTATTTATTTAGATTCCTCTCTCTTGTTTTTTGTTGAATCTGGCTAATAGTTCATTAATTTTGTTTATCCTTTCAAAGAACCAGTTCTTGATTTTATTGATTTTTTTTTTGTCTCTACATCATTTATTTCTGCTGTAATCTTTACTATTTCCTTCTACTTACTCTGGGCTTTTCTTGTTGTTCTCTTTCAGTTCTCTAAGTTGTAGGGTTAAATAGTTTATTGTTGATTTTTCTTGTTTTTTTGAGGTAGGCCTGTATTGCTATGAACTTTCCTCTCAGGATTGTTTTTGCTGTGTCCCAGAGATTTTAGTTGTTGAGTGTTCATTTTTATTTGTTTCCAGGAATTTTTTTTTCTTTCTTGACCTCATTGTTAACCCAGTCATTGTTTAGTAACATGCTATTTAGCCTCCATGTGTTTGAATGTTTTGGGGTGTTTTTATTGTACTTGATTTCTAATTTCATTCCACTGTGATCTGAGAAGATGTTTGATATGATTTGAGTCTTCTTGAACTTGCAAAGACTTGTTTTGTGTCCTAACATGTGATCTATCTTTGTGAATGATCCATTTGCACTTGAGAAGAATGTATATTCTGCAGCTTTTGGATGAAATGTTCTATAAATGTCCATTAAATCCATCTGATCCAGTGTGTCCTTTAGAGTCACTGTTCCCTTGTTAAATTTTTGTCTGGCAGATCTATCCAGTGAAGTCAGTGGTGTGTTAAAGTCACCTACTATGACTGTATTGTTGTCCATTTCTGCCTTGAAGGCCTCTAGAACAGCGGTTCTCAACCTGTGGGTTGTGACCCTTTTGGAGGTTGAACGACCCTTTCACAGGGGTCGCCTAAGACCATCGGAAAACACATACATAATTACATATTGTTTTTGTGATTAATCACTATGCTTTAATTATGTTCAATCTGTAACAATGAAAATACATCCTGCATATCAGAGATTTACATTATGATTCATAACAGTAGCA